CGTTTTGAATTTTGTTTAAATCTTTCTACTTAATAATGCAAAAAAGTAAGGAATCTTGATACTGTCGAGGTTCAAAGCTCAAAGTGAATTATTTTACCATGCTTTATTCTCCAAAAATAAAGATTTTATAAGACGCATTCGATACACTCCAGTTTAGTTTGTACACAGGTGTTTGAAATATGATATATGATACAAAACCTGTTTTCTTACAACTTGATCTAAGTCTGGTATAATGAAAACCATTTAACGAATATATTGTTTAGTAAAAATATAATACAATGTGTTGAATAACATTTTATTTTAAACAAACAGAAGAACATTAGTGCATTTTTGAAGCCTGAGATGTGTTTTGTACTAATTTTTGTCAATATTTATACGAGCCCTATTCACAATTTTATCATATTGTTGTAGCTATACATATTTTATATCTGTACAACTGTAACACTTAGTTGCGCGTGTATAACTAATAAACTTAGCTTAAATCTACACAAATAGAAGTTTCAGTCAATAACTTACAGACAGTTTATTTTAATTTTCTGTATGATAAGGATAAATATATTGAAACAAGAATGAATCTTTAAAAAACATGCTGTTACAAAAGTATACTGTGCAATTCACCAAGCATGTGCCCTAAAATCGGCTTAAGCAGAACTCCGCATTGAAGCGACGTTGTTCTTACGGCGATGAGCATGTGATAAAATTCTCAACTAATGTCGAAAATTAAATGAAGTGAATAATTCCAGGCAAAAAGTAATAAAGTGAAAAACAGACAATTGTTACCTTAAACACTTCAATCATTTTTCTAGTTTTCTATGCAAATATATTCAACAGTCAAATACCTAAAGTGAATAGACAGAGAAATGTTAGGCAAAGGCAATTAACCAATATTTATCCTTTGCTAGTAATTTTATCTTATTTTGTTAAATAAAGAATCTCTCGAAATCCAGTTTAATAGATGAAATGAACATGGAAATATGCAATCGCAAATGATAAAACACCTCATTTAGTGTTGTTTTATATTGTATGTTTTTTTGTAGTTGAATTTATGATTATATTCATTTTCATGATATTATAGTTATCAGATTTTATAATATGCTTTCATTGTAAGATAAAAGTTATAAGTCACGCGTGTCCATAGTAAGTTAAAAGTTAGTAGTGTCCATTATAAGATAAAATTAACTTATTAAAATTTTAAAGAAATACTTATTTCTCTCTATAACACGATAAAAGTGAATAGTTTCTATGTTTATAAGAAAAAGTAAATAGTTTTCACTATAAGATAATAGTTATGAGTTTTTGTTATGAAAATAAAAACAATTTTCATTATAAAATAAATGTAATTAGTTTTTATCAAAAGATTCTGGCCCTTGATAGATATAAATTTAGTTTAGATGATGTTAATGAACCTCTACACGCAAAAAGAAAAGTGAAAACGCTACAAATAAAGTGAATTATATTTGTCAATGTACTGAAGGCCACACCATAAAGGTATATTTGAAAAAAAAACACACAACTAAAAACATAGCGTTGATTGTGACAGGTCAAATCCGCCTTTAAATTTTAAACTTAAAAAATTCAAACTGAATCGTTTCAACTCAATTTAACATAATATGAAAATTAATATGGATTGTTTTCTCTTCCGGGTTAAATTTGTATCATAATAATACCGCACTACCCACATAGGATGCAAGTCGTATAATTAACTATGGATTTCGATTTTACAGAGACGAAATTAAACTGGTAAATATTTTAAATATGCATCTGTAGTTTTTTTAATTGTTTGTTACATTGTTCGTTTGCGAAATCATTGTTTCAATCAGTATCAACGCTCATTTTGATTAAAATTTTAGACTTTGATTTAAAAAAAAATAAATTGATATTTCTATCTTAAGTTATGTTAGGGTCTTTTCAGATTACCTTTTTTCTCATCATTGAAGGCATAAGTGCGTTTTATATAGTCCTGTCTGGCCTAAAAATTACAATAGCCATCACTTTTTACAAGAAAATACTTAAACACGGTGGAATAAGAAAATAATTTTAACTGCTCATCGCAGTCTTGTTGAAAGATCACCTTTTATTGCAACATGCTATAAGTAAAACACAATTTATCAAACCATAGGTGCTCTTTCATAGTTTGATACCTGGCTTTGGAACAAAAAAACATTATTGTGTGCTAGCTTCTACTTTGATACTGTATATCTTCAGAATCACTTGAATTAAAATATTCCGCTACATTCTTAATCATGACTGTCTAATTCGGAACATACAACTAATCGACTGTAAATATAAAGCTATTTTTCTTAACCATTTCTTTTTTGAATAACATTTGAGCATTTTCAATGTCAGAGTCTAAAATATATGTAAAATATGTATGCCTTTTTAAGTATTTAATGTTTTGGTTATGACTTATTTCATCAGTATTTAAGTTTGAGAAAATTTTATGTCAGTACGAAGTCAACCATAAATGTTTTCATTAGAACAGACAAAGAACGAATTATCTAAATTAGGAAGCGCGTTTATGTTCGTGTTTGTCTTGTACAAACATGACCTTTTTCATCATTTTCTAGTTCAATAATGTCCTTAAAGCTGCATGCCTGCAGCCAAAATGTTTAAAAAAATCAAACTTGCGACAAATGACAAAGGACAATTAGCCTTCAAAGAAATCGAAAGAAAACAAATCAAGAAATGCATGTACTAGACATGTTTTTTTGCGTTTAGGAGGCGTGGACGGGATCTTGCACATTCCAGTACCGTCCGAGAACAGGCTCAATCAAATCGGGCCTGCAACATTTTTAATTTTGTCGTTTTGAGCGTTCTTTAGGGATTCTTTTTTTCTCTCTATTTTAATGACTGATATTGCAGAATTGATCACCCATACGTCTACTGCGTGATTTACGGAGTAATGTCAATTTTCGACAGAGAGGGCCCATCCGTTTTATTGTACCAAAGTTAGTTGATCGGTACATATTTTCCATTGTATAGAGATGTGATCTCGTAATGGGTTAAACATCATGATCATGTACATTTCGTTTCATCATGTTTAATTACCGTAAGGCGAAAGTCTTATACCGCACTGGACACATTCCACTTAATTTGTGACAAATAATAATAAAACATAAATATGTGCTCATCGCAGTGCGTTTGTAAGTCACTTTAACCATGTTAGTATTTTCATCGAAAATAATGCAAAACACATTATTGTTTGCTACAATTTCAGATATATTATACATTTTTTTACAAAATGTATATTTAAGTATACGTGACCACAATAAATTTGTTCGCGAATATAAAAGCATTCTTTAAACATTTAACAATGTTTTGTCTAGCTCATAGTCATGATTGATATCCGATCCGACCTTTTGTCAAAGTTTTTAAATGAGAGAAATATTATATTTCTTCCGCGTCAATTTGCGTCACAAGGGGAAAGACAAACAATGAGTCATATATACATAGTGGTATTTAGGTGTAGTTAAGATTTGAAAATAGCAAAATATTTGTGATGTTATTTTTAATTTCAGTAACTTATTAATATTTTGAAATGATTGCTCTCTAACTTCGTAAATGGTTGGTGTAAGACGTTGAATTCATCACAAACAGGTTGCTTGATTCATACAAAATTATGTTTGGCAACCTGTCCGTTTACTGTCTTTGCAAACTACGTAAACGGTAAGGTTCATGAATAAAATAAACTGTCAGGTGATTGATTTAATAAAAACTATTTTTTTTAAAAATTGATGTAGTATCATGTTTGATATATTAAGTCACTTGATTTAAACACTGGTAAAATCTTGGATAAATAGATGGAAAGAGGTTTCTATATAGTTTAATTAAAATGGCTTTTTGTTTGATTTATTGATCTAGAGATATTGTTTAAATACCAGATACCTGCAATCTGTATGAAACATAGCATGTAAATATTTGTTAAGTTTAAGCCATTGCACTCCGACTTATTTTTGTATTTCAATTACGAAAAGAAACAATCTGTTATTTGATAACATTATACTGCTCATTGTTGTCCTAATGAGAGACAGTATCGGTTGTTCATAACAACATCTTTTGAACAATTTATTCAAAGAACTGCATGTAATTTCTTTTTGCAAAGTCAGAATCAAAGCTCTTCCTTCGATATCAAAATATTGATCGCTGTATTTTATATCTATTAGCTGTACATAATCCAAACTTTTAGTTTACTTTCCAAATTAACTTAGGACAAAATGGTTACACGTTAATTGGTGTTTACATCTTTGATTGCTATGTGCCCTGTCTGATTGAATTATTAAACGTCGTATAAGCAACGACAAAATCATTCCCAAAGAGTGTTTTTTACCTGAAGAAAGTCAACGCGAAAACTCTCCTCGTTTATTATTTTAAGTTCTACCAATGAATTTGGATAGGCATTGTCACAGGTAATACTTAAGCTAACACATTTTTTCTCTTTTTTTTTCAAAAACATTGAGAAAAATCTATTACATATTTAGTTTACATGTATCTTTTTAAACGGTTTCAAATGTTTTGATTTTTTGTAAAAAAGGATATGAATATTTATAATGCACAAACTGTAATGTTATTTATCATTATTTTATAATTTAACCTGTATATTTCAAAGAAAGTACACGTAGATATAAACGTAGATATAAACTTGATATTAGTAACACATTAAACATTGTTGTGACTATAGAAACAGAACTGTCACTAACAAGTTGTATATTTCGTCATTAAAAGAACTGGTATATGGCACAAAAACTCTACGGAAAATATGGAAGCTTAGATTTTAAATGTATATAATAATTTGCTAAAGAACGCAGCTGAATCTTTATAACTTAATTGTTAATCAATCCATCAAACGCAAACATCGATGTAAAGAAAGTCTTTACATATTTTGTTCTTTAATTGTGTCCTTTATCACTAAAAGGGGTCACGGAAATTTAAAACGATATTTTACCACAGTCTATGAACTTGATAATAAACTACATAATATGGTTATAAGTTAACATTTGTCAGGTAATTTCAGAGATGTATAACGGATGATAAAGTGAAACTTCTTAACGATGAGATTGCAGTTTTTGATTGTGCTATTACACGCTTTATGTAGCGACTTTGCAGGTAAATCATAACTTCTACAGGAAATTGCTGTAATATGAATGAATTGTTTCAAAATCATTTATTACTGTTTTTACGTTGTATTATTTAAATACAATTACCAAGTTTGTAAAAAAACTTTATATTGAGACTTTATTTGGAACAAACAATTTAAAGAAAACTTCAAACCTTTAGTTTTATTCTTTTTATCATATTTAAATATAATTTTATACAAGAAACACGATGATATTAAGATGCAATGAGAAATTATTAACTATTAAAAATGATCTTAAAAAATATTTTGTTACACAACAAAAGTATTATTATAGTTGTATTTTGTATTCATTGTATTATACAGAAGGTGAGAAATTAAATGTAAATGGTATACGGCTAGTCAATGCTACACAGCCATATAGCGGGAGGGTAGAAATCAGCATCACTGGTGTGTGGGGAACCGTTTGTGATGACTCGTTTGATTTTAATGATGCAAATGTCATGTGTCGCATGATCGGTCTTAAGTATGTAAAACTTTTTTTTTTTCATTATTCATCTCTTAAAAGAAGCATAAGTAATGTTTGTTTAACAGGAAATCAAAGTTTAATCAAAGTAGTTTCATTGTAGTTTCATTGATTTCGGAGAGGATTTACCTTTTCTAATTTATTTGTCGGTCTGCTGTATTTCAAATATTCATACATATATATTTCAGTATTTCAGTTCCAAATAATACTAGTAATAAGTATGAATTATATTATCTTTCTATGAGCAGGATTTTTTAAGTTACAAAGGCACACTTACAACGTCAAAACGTGTTTATTTTTATTAAATTACATCTGTTATCCTATTGGATAAACAGATATCCTATACGTAGTCATATTTTTTTAACCCTTCTTAGAAAATGTAACAAAGATCGTCAGAGGCTCGTTTAACTATAATTTCTTTAACACGTTTTAATGAAATTTGAAATTATGATAATTTATGTAGAATACTTTAGAAATCGAACGTATGTCATTCGTCTATAATATTTTCAGAGCAACAACTTTTGAATCAAGTGCATTTTACGGACCTGGGATTGGGCCGATATTTGCTCAAGAATTTAAGTGTAACGGAGGAGAATCACATTTAAAAGATTGTGAATTCGTTCCTAATGTCGAATGTACACACGATAGGGATATCAGCATAATTTGCACTGGTGCGTGTATATTTATATCATAATATATGTATATGGTAAAGATGAAAATATCAAAGTCTAACACAAACTGCAATTAATTGTTGAAAGTTTTAAACGGTTTTTGTATATTTGTAATCAATAACATTTATTTCTCACTTTTAACTTCTTTTCACTTCTTAAATGAATTTGTTTTTTCACTATTCATACAGCTTGGTGAATTAAATAAAACATGAAAAGTACTTTTGTAGGTTCCTTTTATAAAATCGGAAAGTAACTGTCCGTTTAATGCGTTTCATGAATGGAAAAAGAAAAATATATACCGTACAATGTTTGTACATGTATTACATAAATGAAGTGCTTTGTATAACATTTTATTGTATATTTAACGTTTTTATTGTATTTATAACACATTCAATCGTATGTAAAGCATTTAAATTGTTGAAAAAAATGTAAAAAGAATATAAAACAGTATGTAGGTTACATAAAATGTATGTTTACTCATTTAATTTCATATTTAAGCTACAACAGTGTGATTTAAAAAGTAAATTATCTTTTTAGTTCAGCAGTTGTTGTTATTGCCAATACATATAATGATAATGTTGCAGAACTTAGCCATTTTCATTATCATATTTTTTTCTTATTTCAGAATGTGGTAAATTAGAAATACTTAATGGAAAAACACAGTCCATATCAGCTGATGGAAGAAATATCAAAATATCATGTATAGATGGGTATAGCTCAAATGTTACAACAAGTATTTGTGAAAATGGAAGCTGGTCTGTGCCGACAATACATTGCACATCAGGTGAGAGCACGAACAATCTTACAGTCCAAGCATAGCATTTTATTCATGATTATATATAATATCATATTATGATAATTAGGAATGGAACTTCATTCCATATATTATTGAAAAACGTTTGTAAAATAAAATGTCAGTGCAATTAGAAAATATTTGAATTTTTCTCCATTCTCAAAAACGCAATTCCCGTGTCATGTGCAAATTTGTCAACCAACATGACTAAAGACAGTCGATTCAAGGGAAGTTTTTACATATAATTTTGCTATTTCTTGATGAAGTTTTTCAAATATTTCGCAGGTTGCACTTTGTTATTGCATAGTGTATTTTTATTTTAAATGCTTTTGTAGATCTTAAAATATTATATATTTTCTAACATTTGAGAAGCCGCTTTGGTATTGTGTACACATGCCAAAACGTCGACTTTTCAAAAAAATAAGAGCAATGTTTTTTTGTTTGGTTTTTTAAGGGGTGGGGGGTTGTGTGTGTGCGTGTGTGTGTGCGTGCGTGCGTTCGCGCGCGCGCGCGTGTGTGTGTGTGTTAATAATGTAATGATGCACTTTATTTAACACTGAATGATGTCTTTGAAACTGGTTTTGGGGTTATTTGAATTGTAGAGGTTTGAAAGAAAATGATGTCGTAAACTGCACAAATAAGTTAAAAATGCTGAAAGCACTGTACACTTCTGATTAAAGTAGCCATTAGGGTAGCACATTTTTATACCAGAGTACGGGCACAATTATGAATATCATATGTTATGGCATAATGACAATATAGTAAGTGTCTTGTACATCTCTGTTGTAATATGATTAAAGTGGATCAAATCAGTCTCGTATTTTCTGCTGCAACGTTTATATATAAAACACAAAGAATTGTGGAGCAATGAAAAACTTCAGTTGTTACCTAATTTCATGTCATTGTGCATCAAAATTTTCTTGAATTCTATTTGAAAGACTTTACTCTGTATTTGCTAATGCTTTTTTTCTTTTTCTTTTTGTTTTTTTTTTATTTCAAGTTATGTTTCTTTTTAGCAGTATGTTATCTTGTCAAAGCATAGAATGTTATATGTGAATCAAAAATTCTTAAATTTTTCATAATGACTGAACGTGAAATAACACAGAATAATTTGGAATAAAATAAGATATATGTTTGCTTTGATTTTTAGCTATATGTTCTTGATAGTAACGAGTAAAATTAAAGATAATCATCCTTTAAAGTGACATCCAATTCAATTTCCTTAATAGATATGTTTCATTTAATATTCATTTATTAATAGTTTCATTCAATATTTCAGACATTTCTGTCCACTAATTTCAACTCCTATTCTTTGCCTAGTTCAATATACTCGTATACTGTTTGAAATATTTTTCAGAAAGTAATATAAGAAAGTGTTAACTTTAGTATTAGGGTTGTTCATAGTTGCGAATAAAAAGAACTGGTTTATTTATTTAAAAGCGATGTCCTTATAAAAATAGAAACTATCTGATTTTTCCAACTATGAAGCGCAATAATTTCACATCTCTGTGTATTATCCTAAAGAATGCATATAGAAAAATAAAAACAAAAACATTCAGGTGCACAACTTAACATGCTGACCATTTATTCTGTAAAGTTTCGTGACTCTTAGTGAAACACATTTTCAGCTACGCAAAACACAATGTGAAAATTGCAAATCCATAGGTAACAAATCTAAAATACTGGATAAATCTACAAGCAAATACCCAGGTACACAACTTCACATGCTGACAAAGATTACTGTTAGTCAAAAACGCGATACAAGTTGAAAATTGCAAATTTTCACTTTGTCACAGGCAATAACTCAACAAAACTAAATTTATCTACACGAATCATAATAGATGCAATTCACACTGTGACCAAGATTTCTGTTTGTTGACTCTATTTAAGTACTTTTAAAGCTTCATGTGACAGAACATGGAACGCACGAACTCATGTATGCACGGACAAGGGCAAAACTATATAACCCCCTAAAATGGGGGATTATAAAAGTCATTGACATTCTGGTAATGCCAAAATGACACATTTATTTATTTAAGGCACATCGTAAGTAATCTTGTTTTAACGATATTTCTTTTATTCGTTTTTTTTCTTAAGATAACATTTTCTGTATGAAAAAAAGAATCTAATTACATGACAAGATTCTTATGGGGTTTTAGTGAAATAATATTGAATAAGATAATTCCTCGAAAGCATTCATTGCTACAAAATTCCATGAAAATTGACTAATTGATTGAGACTGTACGTGAAAAATTATGAAAAAGATGCAACATTCCTCACGCCTCCTAGCACAGGCCTTCAGTAGTACTTAAATTTCAAAACCTAAAAGTGCTTGAAGCAATGATCAGCAGAAATGTTTTAGAAGACAATAACACCGTTTCAGATACCCTGTGCTTTAATATTAGGCGCGCCTCTGATATCCATCTGAATAAAAGTCTATTTCGGTATCATCACGATTCAAATATATCCGCAAGCAACCCTCCTATGCACACTTTACATGCTGATTAACATTTATGAAAAGTTTCATGACACCAGGTCTAAAACTTTTTCGGCTACGTTTGACACAATCTGTATTTCAAATGTTTACGAAGTCAATGGTAATTACTTTACAAATAAAGAATAAAGCCACCAGCAAATCCCCGATGCACAATTTCATATAATGATAAGAATTCCCTGCTAAGTTTCATGACTCTAGATCAAATAAATTTCGATCTACATGCAACACCATGTGACAATTGCAAATCTTAACTAAGTCATGGGCAATAACTCAGAAAAAAAACCTAAATTATTAAATAAGGGAAAGCCCAGATGCACAACAGCACATGCTGATCAACATAAATTTAGTGGACGGGCGAACGAAAGGGCGAAAAGGAATATCTTAATGTCTCCACCCCATAGAGTGGTGGCATGAAAACCTCCCATTAGCATACGATTATTACCAAATCCGAATACACATCAATGAATATGTTTAGGTCTTATTTTATTTAACTTAATGAATTTTCTGCAACATTAAAAGTTACTGAAATATCTATAAATTTATCATTTAAATCTTTAGCGTTTTATCTTTTATTCAGTGTCCAGTTTAATCATTTTGTTCTATAAAATGGACTTTATACTGTGCGAAAGACTTTCAGTTTGTACAATGGGTCATTTTTCTGGTAATAGAGCTTCCAGTGGATATAAATCACTTTTATCTAATTATTTTACATGAAATATTGACCGAGGAGTAATTTTGTTATAAAATGTTGACAAGGGAGTCATTATCTAACATAAAATATTGACCCCGGTCCTAATAATATTAAACATATTGACCTCGGTCTTTATTTTACATAAGATATTGACCCCGGTCATAATTATGTACATGACATGGTGTCTGTATTTTACAGAGCTAGAAAGGGGTGATCATTACATTAACTTTTCTAAGAAATAAAGTACGAAGAGGTTTTTCATGACCCACTCGTGCGTCAGCGATGGTTAACCTTTTTGGTAAAACTTTTGTTTATTGTCACACATTTCAATACTTTGTGTAATGAAGGTAAAACAAAGAAATTTCATATGTTCATACACCTTTTATGAGTAAATAAAGTAATGTCTTCTATCCAGCACTGAGAAAAGTGGTATACAGCTTTCGTTTTACAAAAAATTAATCACCAGGTGTCATCGTTCTAATGGGACATTACGACGTTACAAAATTGGTGTCATGTGGAGGTTATAGTACAAATTCGATGTTCAAAATGAAAAAAAAAATCTTAAAGGAGCATGCGACGGTATCTTTGTACGAAGAACATTAAATATGCATTTAACCGTCTTAGTGCTCGTCCTTTGTTAACAAATCTTCGAAACTTATAGGAGCGGCGTTTTTATATAATATCGTTCTCTATTAAGATGAGACAGCCAAAACTTTTAAACATGTTTTAAACCTATTGGTTTAAAAGTTAAGAGAGCATTAACTTGATTAAGATTTCCACTTTGACAGTGTATAATTAGTAATAAACGTGTGGGAACATGGCTCATGAGATTAGAATGTAACAGCTATATAAAGGAATAATTTGCATATTTTACAACATTGACTTGATATGGAGAAAGAAAGTTCAATGACAGCCATGGAAACATCTTGATATTTTTGTGACCAATGAGATACCATGATTACGTCGAGCGAAAACAAATAAAGCAATCCTTCTTTGCAGATGATGCAACTTTCGTAATTGATGGTTCAGATAAGGCCTTCCAAAAACTTGTCTATGTGATAACAGAATTTATTAAAAATTTCCGGTTTAAACCTTAATTGCAAAAAATCAACAATTTCACGAGTCGAGTCAAGATACTAACATAGAATATTGTACAAATAGAAAATCAAAGTAGACATCTGATTGAGCAAAAACATTAGGCTTTTTATAGTCATCAGATTACATGTAAAATACAAACATGAATTTAGAGCCTAAATTTCAAGTTTTTTTAATAGTTTAAAGCAGTGGCCACACAGAAAGCTTACTCTGATTGGAAGATAATAGTAACAGTGATAAAACTTTTGCATTGCCAAATTTAATATACCCCTTTTCAGTATTAGCAAACCATCCATTGATTAGATGAAAGAAATAACTAGAGCGATATTTCGTTTTCTATGAGCAGGAAAACCAGACGAAATCTAGCGCATAACTTAAAATCTTTACATCAAAAATGGTGGGCTAAAAGTTTTAGACATTACTTATTATCTTAATGCAGTAAAAGCAAGCTGGGTAAAAAGGTATATAAACAAAGAAAATGAGGGTTCATGGAAGCTTCTTATAAAACGTTAGATAACACAATATGGTTATGATTCTTCTTTTCCAATGTCATCTTTAAAAAAACATATTTCACATTGTGACCAAGATTTCTGTTTGTTGACTCTATTTAAGTACTTTTAAAGCTTCATGTGACAGAACATGGAACGCACGAACTCATGTATGCACGGACAAGGGCAAAACTAAATAACCCTCTAAAATGGGGGAATA